GTATGTATGTATATGTATGTGTGTGTATATGTATGTCTATGTATATGTGTATACACATACATATATATGTATGTATATGTATGTATATGTGTGTATATGTATGTGTGTGTATATGTATACGTATGTGTGTGTATATGTATGTGTGTGTATATGTATGTATATGTATATACATACATATATATGTATGTATATACATATATGTATGTATATGTATATATACGTATACATATATATATGTATGTATATGTATATACACATATACACGTATACATATACATACATATATACCTACATATACGTATATATACATATACATACATATATACATACATATATGTATATACATACATATATATGTATGTATATACACATATACATATGTATGTGTGTGTATATGTATGTATATGTATACGTATGTGTGTGTATATGTATGTGTGTGTATATACATACATATATACACATATATATCTATGTATATAGAGGTGGCGATGGTGAATGGATCCGCAGCCTTCATCCTTCAATTCCGTCGACCTATGGAGCACTGATTTGGTAAACGGAGGAAGAAAGAGAGATGGTCTTCAATGGAGCACTGATTTGGTAAATGGAGGAAGAAAAAGAGAGTTGCGCAGAGATGATAAGTTTCGCCGGAGATGATAGGAAAGCTTCTGGGTTGTGGGAATTGTTCGTGCTTGGGGTCCGTTGATATGAACTGGGCTTTACCGGATTTTGGGCTCGCTGGACAGAACTGGGTCTTGTAGTTTGAAGCTTTGTCAGACTGATGGCTCCAATTTTGAACGCCGCCGTGAGTTAGATCAAGACAGGGCTCCAATTTTGAGGGTTGTCTTGATGTCGTTGCCTTCTTTTCAGTAAGCATTTCCTCTTGAAAGTGAGAGATAGAGAGCAAAGGGAAATCTCTAGAATTCTGGTGAAGTGAGTGAATTTATATGGCCTTTTTTATGTCTTAATTGTTGGTTTTATCTAGAGCCGTAACGTGAATCTTATGCCAGTCCATTGGTTTTGTTTTGTATTTGATGATTTAAAGAAGCAAATTCTGCAGTCTTAGCAAGAAAGGGATCCTCTCTATAACGAATTCAGTCTTTGTGCTTCTTCTCTTCTGTTTCCAGTTTCTCTGTATAGGTGTACTCTGTTAGAGGATTGGGCTTGGTCCGTTGTAGACCCAGAAGTTCTGCATATATTTCCATCGGTGATAAACCAAAAGCTTGATCCTTCCCTTCCATTGGAGAGCTCGAAGGTGATGGCGGTGGTTTGGGGGTGGGGATGGTGGTGGTTGTGGGGGCAATTATGTGGTGTCAGCGCCAAAATGTGGTTGTAGGATTGATTGGGTGTTGGGGGTAATTTGGTAATTTAATTATTTTAATATTTTATAATTAAAATTAATAAAAATAGTGAAGGGTAAGGTTGACTTTTTACATGTTTTAAGGCTCTGTTTGGCTTGCAAATATCATCAAGGGGTGTCATTGTCCCAAAACATGGTAAGTTTCATCTAAATATCCTTTTAGCAAACCTTATGGGGTGTTGCTATACTTTACTCTAAAAACAATTAACATTATGAGTTCATTTGTTTCGATATATTTTTTGGAAAAGATTTTTTCTTTTTCAGGTAAAAAATATATATTTTTTTATTTTTACTTTTTCAAAGGTGCATAGGTTTAGGTTGAATCCATGGAATTTTGTTAAATTTTAATATTTTTTTCTTAATAAATATTTTACTACAATCAAACATTACAAAATAATAAAAAAAGTTTTAAAAATATTTACATCCAAACAAAATGAGGCTAAATTAAACAAGAATTAGAACATATTGAATCCTTTTCTAGTAGGATGCCCGCTGTATAATCAAGCCCATAAATCAAATTAGGGGAAAATAAAAAGTTTTATCAACCTGAAACTAAATTATGGACGACAAACTCTAATCCTAGAAACTGTTAGAGGATTATTATTCTACAATTTGATTGGTGTGACTCCTTCAATCCAATTATTCCTCTAAAATGGGTAATGATTTGGAATTATCGAAGATGAAATTTTGCATTAAATAAATCGACAGGAAAGGAAATAAAAAAATTTTAAATTTTTTTAGAGTTTAGATAGATAGAAAGAGAAAACTAATGGAAAATTTTGTTTCTATACTTGTCTATTTTCTCTTAAAACTTTTCATGTACAAAACACAGGGAAATAATTTTTTCGCGTGAAATGTTTGCCTTTTAATTTGACATTACTATTTTACCTAATAGTGAAAAACAATTTATTACTTTATTTTTGTACTGGATCTCTAAAAGGCAAGTTCTCTGCAAAACTAACTTTTTCTTTGTTTCTTTCTTTTTTTTTTTTTTTTCACCTTTCTTTGTTTTTCCACAAATTCATATATAATTGGCAACAACAAAAATATAATCAAATCTCTCTAAAAAAAATTAGTATGCCATCAATACATCTCCGTGTTTTTTTTTTTAAGCTTCGTTTCTCATACACTAATAATTAGTTTTACTACTGTCTCAGAAAATATTATGAAGTCTTATTTTAAATATAAATAATTGTATTATTAAATTTAATAATCAATTATTTTACTATTTCTTTGCTAAAAATATACATCAATAAATACAAATTCATTTATTTATTAGTATTTAAAATTATAAGGGTAAATTTGGTATCTTTAATCGATTTCTTTTCACTTTTATGTTATCCAAAATAACAAATTAATATTTTTTTTTACAATTTTTTTGAATAAATTTTCATTCTAACCAAATGCATGTTAGAAAATAATTTTTTTCCCATTCACTTTACTTTTTATTTATTTTTTATTTCTTTTCTTTTCTTGTTTATTTTTATCTAACCAAACGGAGCCATAGTGATTGGCAGGAAAGAAAGAAAGAGAAACCTTCAAGAAAATTTAGCTGGATAGAAATTAAATGGAGAAAGCATCTCGATGGTATTTCGATCTTCTAGCTATGGATTCCAGTTATTTTAAACTGAAAATGACTTTTGCCGCGCATGCTTTTACGCTTTCCGGGTCGACTCCATGTTGTCTAGCACCGAAAGCATTTTCCTTTCATATTTTCTACCTATAAAATGGACAGCCTCTATAACATTTACATTCACATCAATCGTACGGAAAAGAATAATGAGAGAAACAAGAAATAGAGATTTCTTTCATATTTTGGTTCCACTTAAATAAATTAGAAGTTAAAAGATTTTGAGGATGGACATCAATGAATAGAAAGAAAAGGATAACATGACAAATTTATATATTCTGTACTTGCTCTACCTCATATTTATTTTATTGATCATGAAACAAAAACTAAGTATAAATTTCATTTATTTTCCATTGTATTTGTTTACTTTCCCGTCACCTGTGCTTGTTCAACGAAAAGTAAAGCTCAATCCATTTTGCAGCTTCTATTTGTCTCCGTGAGTTGTCTTAATAGCAGAAACATTATGATATAAATCACAATTTTAGGAAAGATAATTAGAATTGCAAAATCGAGAGAGGGTTTATATAGAATATTGACAAATATAAATAATGGTAAGTGAAATTTATCTTTAAAAAAAAACTTTAAAACTGAACTCATGGTATAAACTCTTTAACCGTTCAACATCGTTGAAATTCAACTCAAATTCTTCTATCAACATTATTCTTCTTGTCTTTCTCTTGTGAAAAAAAAAAGGGAATCAAACTCTTCAATCTGCCTATAAATTCTGGAATTCCATATAAAATCTGTATATTCAAGTTAAAAATCAAGTTGGTTTCTTAGTTATATGCTTAAATTAGATTGATGTTGAATTACTAAAAAAACCAAGTAGTATTTCTAAATTGAGGGTAGTTTTTTAATTTAATATATCAAAGGAAAGTTGATGAATGTACCGGTGAAAACCAAGGGCGAAGAAAGAGCAAAGTTTTTTTTTTTTTTAGGAAAAAAGAAAAAAGAAAGAATTAAAGGCTAAAAACAAAGCATTTTACTTACATGCAAAGCATGAAGGCATGTGGAGTGGATGAGGACAAATGTCTGCAAGTAAATCTGCCTCCACGACACACACATACACAGCTGGTTAAGGCGGCGTTGTGGCTGCCTACTACTTACTAGTTGGAGGACTTGGAAGTGAAAACATCCCCACTCCCTCACATGCTTCCTATTTGTCAGGTGGACGGTGTGCTCCCAACTACTCTCATCATCCAAACTCCTCCACCAAGTTAATCCACGCTCTATTTATATAATCATTCATATTTTAAAACATCTTCTCTCTTTTGTTTTCATCACTAAATAAAACACCGTCAGGGCCAGTTGGATTCAATTTTGTAAGAATTAAAGATGAAAAAATTATACAAAAATTTATTTGGTTGACTATATATATATTTTGGTGACAAACCAAATAAATTTTTACATTCAAAAAATTTATAAATAGGCACTTATATATATCTCTCTCACTTTTCATTCGGATATGATATGAAACAAATACTCCTTGTAACATTATTTCCTATCGCAACGCTCCGAACACCTTTCGAGTCGGACGCTTGGCGTAATAACGGATCAAAAATTTGGTTTAATTTTGATATAAATTGTCATGAGTGAGTATTTACCCACTTACTCAAAAACTTACCTATTTGATAGCGCTCCATAAGTTGTGAGTAAACTTGTGTCAAGAAGACTGAAATAAAAACAAATTATGGTAGGATTGACTATTCATTAATTATTATTATATTTTAAAAATTTTGTAACTGGCGAAATTCTTTGTTGTAATTACCAGAATAAATAAAATATTTGCGTTTTTTATAATACTAGTTGAGCTAGGTTGTGTCATTTCTCCTTTTTTCCATTTTTTTTTTCCGTTATTTATAAAGATAAAAATCACTTTTTGTTTTGTTTTTGTTATTTATTTATTTATTTCTGTAAAGCGCGTTTCTCTCACTTATACCTGCAGCGAGTGAATAAAGCAGTACCAGTGTTCCTCTCTGTGAATTTACAATATAAAGACTGCCTCCTCCTCTCTCTCAGAAAACCAGCCTCTTGCAAGACACTATCCGGAACAATTTGTGCTTCAAATCTCTCTCTCTCTCTCTCTCCCTCCTCTTTAGTTTCTGCTTTGGCTGGGTCCCTGGGACTGCAGAAGCAGCAAACTCCAAGGGCTGGCTATAATTAAATCTTAAAAAGGCAGCAACAAACCATCACACACACCCTCATCATACACAACCCACTCACGCCCAATGTGATATCTTCCTCTGCTCTCCATCTCTTTATTGTATTTGTATCTATCGGTTACTATATCTGTATCTGTAGGCGTTTTGTTCCCAGATGGCAGACGAGTTGAACGACGGTGAGTTCTGGCTTCCTTCTCAGTTCCTCACTGACGACGATATACTCATGGACTACGCAAACAGCAAGCATCACCCAAACATGCTCACTCATTTTCCCTTCGATTTTTCTTCTCCCAACTCCGATCTCAGTTCTCCTGTTGAGTCGGTGCATGGTTCCACCGAGACAGAGAGTGATGAAGATGACTTCATTACTGGGTTGACTCGCCAAATGGCTCGCTCCACTCTCCACAACGATTTGTGGAAATCTGACTCTAGTTTAGCCTGTGACAAACCCAAGGTATACCTCCACTAGTATATGATCTACTCTTTTGTGCTTTTATTTTTTGTTTTTATCCTTTCGTATTCTTATTTTGGGGATTCTTGTTTTGTAGTCATGGTCTATGTCTTGTTCGCCCCAATCGACACTATGCGCAGTTAATGGTGGTGGATGTGGTTGCAAGCAGGGGTCGAGCCGTGGAAGCCCAAACTGTGCTTCAGAGATGTCGTCGCCGCCGACTGCGACGGCGCCGAGGCGGAATGGGTCCGCTTGGGATCTGCTGTATGCGGCTGCAGGGGAGGTGGCTAGGATGAGGATGCTTGAAGAAGGTATTGGGTATTACCAGAACAGAGGACTACTTGCTCCTCCTCCACAAAACCCCAGTCCAGTTTCTCTCCCTGTGAAGAAAAACTCACACACTACCCCTGAATTTGGGTTTCACTCCAATCCAACTCACTCTTACAAGCAATTGCAAGTCACCCAAGTAAGCCTAAAAACAACACATAATTTACTTTTAATTTTGCATGTGTACATGGTGCTGATTAGTATTTTTGTTTTGTTAACAGTTTGAGCAGCTAAAACAGCAGCAGATGATGATGAAGCAACATCAACAGAGCTCAGCGGATTGGGGACAGTCTAAGGGGACCGTGCCTGTGCCATATCACCAGCAGCAGCAACAGGCGAACAGAGGAAGGAATTGTAGTGGTCGTCCGCTTGGATTATCTCCATCTGCTTGGCCTACTCTGCAACAATCTCAGCAGCAACAACCTGGTTCAGGAATGAGGGCTGTTTTTCTTGGAAACCCCGGGGCCGGCACTAAACGGGAATGTGCAGGAACTGGTGTCTTCTTGCCTCGTCGCATGAATAACCCCTCCGAAACTCGCAAGAATTCAGGTCCTCTCTCGTACATATTACTAGGGTTTTGTTGTTATTCATTGATCAGATCCGTTGTTTTTACTCATTTTGGGGATTTGATCTGTTCATTTTGATCTGATATAGTACATAGTTGGTGTTTGATTGCAGGGTGTTCGACTGTTTTACTTCCAGACAGAGTTGTGCAGGCGTTGAACTTGAACTTGGACACCATGGATGCTCAGCCGCAGCTTCAGCCTCGTTACAACAGAAATTTCTCTACTAACTACGGTATGCTCCACATACATAGTTTTAATTATATACTATATGTATACAAAATAGTGTTTATGTAAATTGATTATTTTGTTTTTGGAATGTAGATGGTGGTATGAAGTATCAAAATGATGTTGTGGGTGGTCAACAGAGGAATAACATCCGGTCGCAGGCAGTGATGAACAACCAAGAGGTGGTCCGGCTTCCTCAGGAGTGGACTTACTGACCCGATTGTGGCGTTTTTTAAATCTTCTGGGTCGTATTTGTTTTGTGTTTACAAAATGGTTAAAAATTGAAGGTAGAAGGTTTAGAAGAAGATAATATTTAGAAAGAAAAAGGGTAGTTTTAGTAGTGGTTAGTTTGGAATAGGAAATTGTTGGTGGAAGTAGAATTAAGAAAGAAAAAATAAGAAGAGAGGGACTATTTGCAGATTGTTGTGTTTTGGGGTCCATGTGAAAATGAAAAGAAGAAATAGGGGTTTTTTGGGGGTTGTGTCAGTGGAAATAAATTAAAATAGTCCTGTCTGTTTTTCGATCGAGGGTAGACTGCAACAGCTTTCGTTCAATCAATGTTGTTTGACTCGAGGTACAACCAAGTGCTTTTGACAGTTTCTTTTTTGTTTGATTTGGAGTGGCATTGGTATGTAATTAATAAGTTGCCAGTAGGTTTTGTTCTTTTATTGCTTTGAATTTTATTTACAAATTCGTCTGTACGCAACTTTATACCATACTTGGTGGTGTATGGTGTAGGTAGGTGTTTGTGGCAATTGATTACGAACCCGACCACCTATAGTGGATGGGAATCAATAGCAATAATATTTATTAGTAGAAATTTTGCTACATACCCAAATTTTGTTTCTATTTGTTTTACATACAATTGATGTCCTTTTGAATCTAAGTTATGTGGCATCAAACCCATTACCAAATGAGTTGTTTAGAGTTGGAATTAATACTTATTTGATTGAATGAATTTGAATTTGAATTTGATAGCGGTTAATTAAAATAATTATAAGAGATGGTTTTATTACGGTGTATTTGTTTTTGTTTTTTTTTTTAATGTGATCATGTGGGTAAGCACGGACCACCATATTGAGTATCTTTGCCAAACAATTCATTAATTAGCTGGATCTTGGAAAATGCCTAGCGCGAAACATTGGAATCATGGCTCTGTGTCGAGAAAAGTGATGTGGTGGTTCGTTAAAAGTCGTATTGGTTTAACAATAATTAATAATTAAGTACATTAACTTTTATTAATGAGCAATCTAGTGAACTGTTTAAGTGTGTTCTTTTTCTGGAATAGAAGATGCCAAGTGACTTTCGACTTTCACTTTCTCCGATGTCGGACCCTTTTTTTCTTCGTAATTCTCCACACTCATATAAATAGGTAAATATAAACTAATGATATCTTTTCTCAAGAATATATTCGGTGTGGTCATTAGAATTGTGCATAAATAGCTCTTGTACCAAAAGCATATTTAATACTTACTCAGTCATACTTCAAAGATTTTCAACTCACATCATATTCAAACCTATTTACATTTCACGAATAAAATTAATATGTTTCATGTTTCAACACAATATTATTGAAATAGAAATATCATTACAAGTCCATTTGTTGACTCCTAAATCGACCAAATAGGCAAACCAATTCCTAAACAACATAGATTAGATTGATGCAAAGAAAGAAAATATACTAAAATTTCTCTGTCTTTTCAAAATTATAGAAAAGATGTGACATTAACATTAGTCATCGCGATGAAACAAGTAATGACTAATTAGGACTCAGTAAAAGAAGGGGGGTTGAGTAGTAGCTAAGGAAGAAGAAGTGTTGTGGGGACGGGTGGCATGTGACGTGAGTGAGTGATGGGACTTATTTCTGTGTCACGTAAAAACCAACTCATTTGTGTGTGATATTTAATGGAGTATGTGTTTTATCCATCCATCACGCTTTAAGCATTGAAGATCTTAAATGAATCTTTCAACTCATTGTGTTGTCACACCTTCGCTATCTTTTTCTTTTCTTTTCAGCGCAGGTTGAGGTTGAACCAACACACCACTTGGCGATGGTGTGAATTTGGGCATGTCAATGTAATTAGGGTTCATTCCAATCCTTATCCAACCCCTCCCTCTCACTTGTGATTGTGATTGACCCCAGTTTAGACTACACACACATGCCGCCCATTATACGTCTTGTGATTGCCATTCCCCACGCGCAAGAGTCTTCTGTGATTTCAGCAATTCGGGCCGATTCAACCAAGAAGCACTGCAGACAATATCTACACACCGACCCACCCTAGACATAGGTGGTCGCATAGAACCTCCAATTTAAAAAGGCTTTAAATTTAAAATTATTGTGCAATTATAGTAGTATATGTTAAAAATGTCTTCACTTCCCATAGTCTCATGTAAAACTAGTAACTAATTAAAAGTTAAACACATGTCCATTTCAGCCCATAAATTTCATATATAATTAAAATACAATACACACACTTACATGTCATATAAATTTATTGTAATAAATAATTTTTTAAAAAAAATTATAAGGATAAACACACGTACTTATAATATCAATTTACATATGTAATACAATAATTTGTATGGTATCAATAATTTGTTTATGCCTCATCCCTTCAAAAGTAAAAAGAAATTTTTATATTTAAATTCGAAAACTGGTTCATTTTATTATTAAATTATTTTTAACTCACGGGTGCAATTGAGTGTTACATTTTCCAAAAATACCTTAAAAATCTCCTAAAATATGGCATGGTTGATGACATTGATGGGACAAAATTATTTTCAAAGTTAGAAGTCTTAAAAGAAACATTGCCAAGACGAACAAAAAAAGACAATTGAAATATTGAATTTTGTTAAAAGGCTAGATTATTGTTTTTCAAGTGCTTGGATTGCATATAGAGCATTATTGACTATCTCAGTTACATTTGCATCTGCAGAGAGCCGCTTTCAAAATTAAATTTGATTAAATCTTACCTACGGTCGACGGTATAAGAAGAGAGATTGAATGGATTGATTATGGTATCTATTGTTAGAAATTGTGAATAAATATTGTTTTATTAGTCATCAATAGATGTATGACTGAACATGTATGATTACTGGTTAGTTATGGGATAAAAAGATGTAACTTAAAATGAACAGACATAACCTATTGGAGTGGCTGTGTCTAGTGGTGAACAGACACCATGTGAACCATTGCAATCTATTGGAGTGGATGTGTCTAGTGGTTAACAGACACCATGTGAACTATTGCAACCAATTGGAATGGTTGTGTCTAGTGGTTAACAGACACCATGTGAACTATTGCAACCAATTGGAGTGGTTGTATTCGGTGATGAAGAGACACACATAAATGGTTGTGTTCAGTGATGAAGAGACACATATAAATAGTTGTGTCCAATGATGAAGAGACACACTTAATTCGAAAAGGCACTTCTATTTCTATAAATACCCCCTTGGGCTGCCATTTGCAATTTGTTCAATTCAATTTTTTTTCTCTTCCTCTCTAAACTTAAACCCAACCCAAATGGGTTCAAACCATAAGTCAAGTGGTTCGAGCCACTTAGACCGTAATCCAATTTCATCGAATAATATTAAGATTGGTCTGAACCATTTGGTTCGGATTGCATCCAATTTAGAATTTATATAGTTTAGATGCATTTTTTAGTCAAAGAGAGTATTACACGGAAGAGATTCGCCGTATCCACGAGTTTGTAGTGCTGCTACTGGTGAAAGCAGACCGTTGTATCTTGGGAGACAAGCACCACAGAGTCCATCAGCACCATGCGTGGCTTAAATTGTCTTAAGGATATAGTATTCAATACTAGTTTCGGTCCATGTTTTATATTTATTAATTTATTGCTTTATTTTGCATATTTAATTAAATATATAGTTGCATATTTAATTAATAAGTTCTTAGCATATTATTAATTATCTCATAGTATATTAGTATAAGAGTTGTTATATCTTAAATGTCACATGAAACATATAATTTTGCAACAATCTTAAGATAATTTATTCCTTGCGTAGATTTTATTATATGCTTCTATTTAAGATATAAACCATTAAAATTATATTAATAATTGAGATATAATAAAGTAATGTTATATACATTATTGTACGTTAAATATTGATGTGTTCAATATTATATGAAATTGAAGTATGTTATATAAGTAGATTATTGAATTATTAAATAATTTAATATTAAATTTTGCAATATAATATTATGTAGTATATTATTTTATCTTAAATTTGTTCCAACTAGAGGTAGGAAAAGGTATTTCATTCTTTTTATCAATAATTGTAGAAGATGATATTATCTATATTTGCTAGGAAGTAAAGATAAAGCCTTAGAAATGTTTAAATATTACAAAAATGAGGTCAAAAATCAACTTGGCAAAAAAAATTAAGGTGTTCGTGAATACGAAGTATCATTTGCTGATATTTGTTTAGAACATGGTATCATTCATGAACAAATGCCGAATGTTAAGTTAACAAGTTCTGATTTAACTCAGAATTTGTGGCAGGAAGTTTTGTTTTCCCCAAATTATGTTCTCAATAAAATACCTCAAAAGAAAACTAATGTGACATCATATGAAGAATAGAAAGGTTAAAAAACATTCTATAAATTCTTAGAAGTGTGTGGGTGTCTAACTAAGGTTGCAGTTCCCACTCCTAAGAATAAAGTGGGACCTAAAATGTGTCAACCTTGTGGGTGGGTATGCCGTGGGCGTGTGCAAGAGTCACCGACAGGCTACCACACTGGGTGAGTTACAGGTGCACAATCCCACATTGCTTAGGTAAGGGAAATGTGAAGTGTTTTTATGTGATGGAGTTATCTCCAATTGGTATGAGACCTTTTGGGATAAAAACCCAAAGTGGACAATATCATACCATGTGGTAGAGTAGATCGTTACATAAAATCTTTGATAGGTTATGCTCATAACAGTGGTGTATATCGTTTTCTTGTGCATAAATCATACAATGAAAATAAGGATAAGCTTAGACGTAGCAAGATAGTTAAAACGTCTAAATCTTTTGATCCTGATTTTCTAGCATGTTTATTAGAAAATGAACCACAAAGTTTAAAGGAAGCAAAGTCTTCTCCTGAATATTATTATTTCTTAGATTAATTATGTGATATAATTAATCATAAGATATAATATTAAACTTTTTTATTTATGTGTGTTCAATATTACTTATATAAGTGCTTACTTTTATTTGAGATTATAATATTAAGTTATGTAGTTGAATTACTTAGTTCGTATAATAATTCAATTTTACAATATAGTTTATTTAATGTGTGATATTATTAATTTTCTATGAGTTCATAATTAGTTTGTGTATTTAATACAACAGAAAAAAATTCACTAGTCTAGCTATAACAATTTTCCCGATAGTAAAGGAAAAAAAATTTATACTAATGTTTAAGACATGTATAACTGTGAATGGATTGAATAAGAGAAGATTTTTCGATAACTCTAAAGAATTTAATGAAAAATGTTATAGATATACTAAGCTAGTACACTGAGACAAGTTAAATCAAGTTAGTTAGCTATAATATACAATTTAGCTAAAAACTAAAATGTTACTGAGCTACAAACTGGTTAGCTTAGTATAAGTTAAAATGATTAATGATGTGCACATAACCTAAGAGGAAGATGAAAATTTGTTAGTTGGTTCTCGATCTCAACTTGGTAGTAAAAAACACAAGGGTGATGAGTATCCATTTTAGCCATAAGTTATTTGAACTATACATCATATCTGCTCATGTAGAAAAGAATAATACTACTTGAGGAGTAGTATTTTTTGAAGAATATTCTTCAAAATA